CCATGGGCAGGGACACCTTGCAGAAGAATCCGGCGCTTAGCACTTGTGGTTTCGTAGGGCAAAACCCTGGTCCGCTGTAAGGGCCCCGGCACCATGGCAGTGAGTAGAGGATGCCACGAAAGCGGGGAAATTTCCCAGAAAGTCCCTCTCACAGCACAAGTCTTACTGAGGTGGAGCTGGTTTGGCCTGGGAGAAATGGGATTTTGGTTCAGCCAACCCACTTGCCGGTCTGCCATCTGCACGGTGTCTTGCCGCAGCGTTTATCCAGTCCAGCTCTGGCTGGACCGCTTGCGGGTGGCTGCGCGGCCGGCAGCACGCCAGCATTCAGAGCGATGCCGATTGTTTGTTGTCCTCCAAGGCTGAACTCCTAGGTAATGGTCGAACTCCTCAGTTCCCTGCTTTCTGTGGTGGAGTGAGGTGATCACCATCATCTTCCTGGGCTTTGAGAGGAGCGTCGCCTGCCATGTGAGAGCCAAAGAGAACCCGGGGTTGCTTTCCTTCTTTCCCCAAGCGCAGCTGAGCCCAGCTAGCACAGAGTGTGGAAGCTTTGTGGGAAACGGTAACAACACGTACCAGCCAACGTTTAACTTGATAGCAACTAGTCTTCACTCTTTGCATTCCCCACCTTGGTAAAACCGGGGCAGCAGGAGTTAGCCTTGTGCTTTGGCTGCGACACAGATACCTCTGCTCCCCTTTTAAAAGGAAGAGATTCATCCAAGGTCATCCAACAAGTTTGAGACACTGCATAAAACCAAATCATAAACAACCCTTGAAAGGATGAACCGATGATTTTTTCATCACAACAACAGTCTAAGTCACCTTTCCATGTTTTGAAAATTTTAAAATATTTAGCTTCACTTTACGGTTGGTGCGTTGACAACAGCAAACCCAATTTTGGTCCAGAAATGCTTTAACGGCAGAGTTGTGAACCTGGATGATGGCCTGGCTGCCAAAGGTTCACATATAACAAGTGGCAAACCCCCAAAACCTGGAGTCCGTTTGAGGTCCTAGAACAGATCAGACAACAACCCCAAAAGGAAATAGTGGATGGAAAGCAGGAGATAAATGGAGGAGGTCTTTCCCCACGTGCTTTTTCTTTAACCTCTGCCTTCCTCCCGTATCTCTCTTTCCTTTCGATTTTGTTGTCTTTATGAACAGTTTTGTTTCGATGCATGCCATAAACACTCCAGTTTGGAGAATCTCAGGGCTAATAAGCAAGACGAAGAGCACTGTGCTCTTTGTGGATTTTTTTTTTTCCTGATAGACAGTATTTTTGTGTCACGTGTCAGCCCTAAGAATGTGTTTGACTTGCTATTTGAAAAAAGGCTGGTGGTTTAATAGACGATAAATTCATGAAATGAAATTCCCAAATATTTTGTCACTAAATAGTTAAATGCTGAGGTGTAACCGTTGGCAGAAACCAGCAACTGAAGCACAAATTAATTTCTGCTGCACTTCCAATGACTCTTGTGGTGTTATATTAAGGATGAATTCGGACTTAGGTTTAATCTCCTCCGGGACTGCTCAATTACGCAGGGTTTCATGAGGGTTGCTCTGGAAGAAACAAGCATTTCTTCCTGCCGGGAGGCAGAGCCCAGTCAGGGCTCTCACCTGGCATAGATCTCATTCACCCTTCGGCCTCATGATGGGAAATGAGCGCAGCAGATCCCCTGCCTTGGGTGCAAGATGAACATTGAATTGCCTGAAATCGGGCTACTAACAAAACAAAGAATGGTGATTTAAAATCCAACCGGCTTATCTCACCTGGTGATTATGGAAAAGCCTGCTTTCCCAACCAACCCGATTATCAGTAAAGACACAGTGAGTAACTGGCACTGAGCTGCAGTAGCTTTCAGCTGATAAATTAATTAAATACGCATAAGTCATTTGGTATAACGGAAGCAGAGTCACAGCAAGAAAACACTGTCATACGATCAGTGTGTCATGCTTTGAAAATGAATCTCTCTGCTTCTTTGCTCCAGCTCTGCCCCTGTATTTGTAACACAGGAGGCTGTTGTCTTCTGACATCGAAACCATTGGCGCTATCACAAAATTAAAGATCTTTTTTCTCGTGAAGGTAATACTTCAGGCTAATAAGTAACCAAGTTTACGTCTTCCTTACCTTATTCACACAAGTAGTTGCATTTACTTGACTATGACCATTCTAAAAAGTAGGATGAGTAAGGGATTTGGCCAAAGAATGAATATTTAAACACCTTAACCGGTTTCAGTCCTGGCAGCTCTGTCCCATGGTAAATGTAAATTGAAATTCTGTTCTCTTATTAAACTTGTGCTAAATTCAGCAATGTTGCATGAGAACAGTATTTCATCCTTCATAGTTTGTGCACTCTCCATCCCAAAACATATTGCTCATTTTAGATGGAAAAATGCTTATATTGTTATCTTTGGTATAGTGGAGATATTTATAATTAGAAGATAAAAGTTACATCCTTAGATGCAACAACAGTTACCATATGAGATACTAATACTTTCTGTATTGGTGTAAATGTTCTAATAATATTACTAAATTGCACTTTTTAAAATTAAAAACAATGACATCTAGTTAATTTCTTAGCAGAGTCTCACATGACCTCTCATACTCTTTGGAAACAAGAAAAGTAGAACATAAAATGTTAAAAACAAACTTAGAATATATATATATGAAGATGCATAATTTTTTTTTCAGAATACAGATTAACATAAAAATAGTAGCTCTCTTTTTGATTCTGCGCTTCTATAAAATTGCAGTAACTATTACAGGGTTCACTGTAAGCCTGAGGAGCTATTAAAATCACAACCTAACAATGCTTTCTTCTAATTCTGACAAAAAACAATTGATTTTTTTTTTTAAAAGGATGGCTGACAATTTCTATGTGTGTGAAGGATGCAGTGTACCCCGTTGGCTACTATATGAATTGTGTTTGGAAAGCTGCAGTCCAAATTCCAAGCATGCAGTAAATTCATCCACCTTGGGAAAGGTACAGAGTAGATAAGATATATAAGATAAGAAGCAGAGATACCTAAACAGGAAATCTGATTATCAAATATACATGCTGCATATCAAAAGATTAAATAATGGAGAAGAATGAGTATGTAATGTATCATGCTCGTGTCTTCTGTATTTCTGGTAAGCCCTCATATAGACGCAGTTATACTACAGAAAAGAGTATTGTCTGTGACGGAGTTTATTCTCTTCAGGGAACTGAGGTATGTTAACCCTAGCAAAGATATCTTTTGCCAATCTATGTCAGAAAGCTTTACCTGGGGTTAATAAACTTGTCCTGAGGAGCTGATTCTTCTGTCCTTAGAAGACCCCTTTGGTTATTACATAATTTCACACTTTCCTTTTCAGGTATACTTGGGGAGATTTTACTCCAAACACACCCTAAAAAAGTTGCCATAGAATCATCAAAGCAAAACAAATGCAGATGTAAAAACCAACCTCTTTCCAACAGTTCCACTCTTCCAACATATTGCTACAACCCACAGAGCAATTACTGCTTAGAAATCCCAATTGCAACAAACACTCTGCTATTCAACTTTATTTAACAAATTAAGGAAGATAAAATGCCTTGTGATTATTTGTTGCCTAGAACTTCTTATTCAGAATTTCCCATTTTTACCACTAATATTATACTATTAGTGCCCATGGTAGGAGCTTCTAAGCATTTTTCTTAACACATAACCAAAATAATTTAAGTTGTACCTGAAATCAATTTAATTTGTGTGGATAACCTTGTTTTACGAATAATTTATCCCAATTCAGTTGAATCTAATTTTTTTTTTTTTTACTGGGTAAGTTAAATCATTCTCATTTAAAATTAAGATTTGAGTGAGTGATCCGGCATGATTTATTACCGTAGCTAAATGGATCATCAACCAAGCCCATGGGTAGGATTTGTTTGGCTCAGGGTAGATGTCTGCCATGAAGCTAGTTACCTTAAAGTCTTTCGGTAGTCAGTGGAGAGAAATAAGTAGTTGCAAGAGAAATAAGTAGTTGCATATGATTCTTCTCACCCTAAATGAGTCATCTCAGGCAGCTCAGATGAAATGTGCCTCGGAACTGCTTGTTTTTCTCCATTGACTACGGGGCGACTCGCTTAGACATCTCTACCTTGTAACCACGTAGGTAAGATTAATCCCATCCTGTCTGTACATTTTCAGGTGCACGAGTCAGTTGCCCCCTGTAAACCTTCTTGTGGTTTAAGTTAAGGCATTTGACTTTTAAGTTGGGGCAGGCGTGGATGAAGCACGCATCTGGTCACGCAGAAGGGCTTAGCCGGTGAGCCACAGCTGCTGTAGGTTGGTGCTTGCAACCGGTCGCCCACAGCCTCCACCGACCCGGTGCACTGCCGTGCAGGCTGACACATCCCAAGTGAGCAAGCTGGCGTGCAGCTCCCCAGCGGCTTGAAATGGTCTGTCCACCTGCAGCAGGAGGTGGGATAGAGGCTGAGGAGGCAGGAATTGCAGCAACGCTGGTTTAAGCTGAAGGTGCACATGGGATCAGTTACCACAGCCTAGTTAATGGGCTGAGCTATTAATAATGCATCCAGCTGTAGTAACCTGACTGCATTACATGTGTGTGGGCTGCAAGCGCTTTTGCAGTCAAGCCCCGTGTGAATCGAACTGTGATGATTTAAGACGGTACTAACCTCATCTGCCCTGTCCCTCTGCCCAAAGATACCGCTGTCTCTGTACAGGAGGCACTGGGAAGACATTACATGTCTCATGCCACAGAAGGCCCAGTTTCATAGGCTTTCCTTTAAGGAAAAGGAGATTATGCTAAAATACCACCTTGAGAAAGGGAGCAGCAGGGGTGAGTGCATGTAGAGAAGTGCAGAGAACAGGACCACTCTGACACCATTAAAACTGGAGGTGTATGTTAGTGTAAGCTGGGGAAATCTGTCCTTCAGCAAGGCCCTTGGCCCAGCAAAGTGCACTTTACACACAGCCCAAGCTTGGCCCTGCTGAGCGGAGGCTCCCCTCACTCCTCATCAATGTTGAGTACTCGCTCCTCTCTTTCTGCTACCTAGGGAATGTTAGCTCCCACTTTCCTGGGTTAGTCTCTGTCTTCACAGACAGCTCGTGGAGAATAATCACAGTGAAATGGATCATTACTCTGACAATGTCTTATTGCTCCATGGGGCCTAACCGGGAGAGACGCTCTGTGACCTCAGTTCACATTTACCACCACAGTGGCCAAAATGTTGCTTTGCAGCTTGACGGTCCAGGTCCTTTTAAAACAGAGAAGTCAGGCCCTATCCTGCGAGTACTCCCTGCAAGAGTGAGTGGGCAGGTGAAGTCTGCTATGTAAGTCCTACTCAAAATGAGTAAGGCAGAGCACCTGAGAACCACGGCACCTTTGAGTTTCCCTCGCTGATATACCCCACCTGACTGCGGGTGGTCTCCTGGCGTGTGCACAGACTGTGTTGCAGTGCAAGGTAAAACAGACTAGTCTAAAATTTCCTACCTGAGGGAGGTAATCCCTTAAATTACTTAGAATTCGGTCCTCAAAAGCTGAATGAGTTCAGAACAACAATTACCATTTGAGAGGTATGTAAGAACAGGTATTAGCCTGCAAATGGTGGAAAGCAAAAGAAGTGATTAAGGAGAAAAAAATGTAACAGATGTGTTTTGCATTTCAGAATGAATTTACCAAGTATCTCTAATTTTCTCTTTTGTTTTCTTTTGGGTTTTTTTTAGCTTATTCGATTAGTTTTCCCCAATCTGGGGACAAGAAGGCTGGGCACAAGAGGGTGTACCAGGTATTTGGTTTGCTTTCACTGTTTAAAAATGTTGTTTCTAACTTGTTCAATACAATTTAAAAATGAATTTTCAGTTCCAGCACTGTAATACAGCAGCTGAATTGTTGGTTGCAAGTCTGTAAGTACATCACAAGATCCAGAGTGATTCATGATGTCACCAAGTACATTAAAATAGAATTAATTAAATGAAAACCACCACATCAGAGCTGCTTTGGTAGGGCATGAATTCCAGATCAGACTGTCTTTTAACAAGCTAGCGCTCCGATTTGTACTGTCTTTTACAGCATGGCTTGCACAAGGCATTTGCCAGACATGGCAACCTTACTCAGAGCTCTTGAGATAGTGGGTCAGGAAAGCCTGGCTCTAGGGTGCACGGGGGTGGCAGCCGTGATTAATGTCTGTGTTGTGCTTTCCATCCTCGCACCTATCTGTGGAGTGACCCAGCATGTATTGGTGGTCCATGGAAATGTTGTAAAGAGCTTAAACCATTGAAATCATCCCACCTCAGATCCTCCTCCTTCCTGCATGTCCTTTCTTTTCCCTTCCCTCTCTTCTAGAGCCCAGGGAGTTTGATACTCTTTCACCGATTCGATCTGCAAACATCATCACATTCTGAACATCCAGACTGTAAACAGGAATGTTTTAAGGGCATGAAGACACAGTGATTTTTACAAGCATTTTGAGTAGCTGTCAAAGTGGCTTTGAGAATGACATGCGCTTACTTGGTCTGAGATTTTTCTCTGCTTGTCTGGACTTGCTACCAGCTTGATCCAGCGAGATCCTTTATTTTGGGAATGCCTCACCGCAGACACTCCCAGGCTTATCCTCATCACTGGCAGGATTTGGGGCAGCCCCCAGGTTCTCTCTTCCCATCAGCAGAATGTTATCGCTGCACTGCTGCCCTGGCTTCCCAGTGATCCTGGCTGGGAAGAGCCAGCTAGGAGCATCTGGGTAGCAACTTCACTGCTCCCCAAGGGCGGGATAGACCTTAGGGAAGGTCTGGCAGGTTCCTTGGGTTTTAGCTTGCCATGACCACTGGTGGGCCATCCAGTCCCCAAGCTACTGCAAATGGCTGCAGAACAACTGTACTAAATCCTTCAACTTCCATAGGGATTTGGGGACCTCTGTCAGCTGAGACCCTGGTTCCTGACTTCCATAGTTGTCTGCTACAAACCTGTTGCATCCCACTCACTGGCTTAAGTGGGCTTTTTTTTTCATTTAGAAGAGGTATCATTCCAGGGCAAAAACTGTTAAAAGCAATTTGTAAAGAGTTTGTGCAATTACCTTCTCTTAGTGAAAATAAATTTTCAAGAGAATTTTAAAAAAACCCTAAATGTAGCTTTTTTTAACTTGGTCTTTCCTTGTTTAAATAGGAATATCATTTGCTTTCAAAGAGGAATATTAATTATTTGCTGACTTGTTGAAAATCATATGCTTGTCAGTTCACAATTTTTTTTTATTTTCTAGGTATCATTATTCTGGGATAGCTATCAAGAACAACTCTTCCTTTTATGAACGTTATTACTCTCTTCTGTCTGAAAAAAGTTATCAAAGGTTTGTTTTTAAATGTTTTAATCATAAAATGTCACATGACAGTATATTTTCTGAGTCTAGAAGTCTGCAAACCATCTGTTGAACATTGACAACAGTATGATATTTTTCTTATTGTTATACACACTATAAAAGTGCTGTGCCATTAAGTGCTCTGCCCTATTAGAGAAGAAAACGTGCCCAGCCTAATCAGACTTCCTTGAATTGGACATTTAAGCCATGTAGATCTCAAGAGCAGGAACTCACGACAAACCTAAAGGAGAAGCTTAATATACTCTAATGGGACTCAAATGGGCCTCTAAATGGGAGCTCAAATACACATATTGACAATCACCTCATGAAATTGTAGCCCCTTCAGTATTAAACAGTAGGCTGAAGAGACATGTATTGAAGTGTAAACGCATTGTTTTGAAGAACCCTACACAATCATGTCATGTGGGGTTTTTTTACTACTTGAAACAATGAGACATACTGCTTTGAAAATGCTTCCTTTGCTTTGTTTTAAAATTTCACATTTTAAAATCATCTCTTGTAAGGAAACAACAATGAGAAAGTGTATAAGACCCGTATAAATTGATTGCAAAAATTACAGTTCTGAAAATAGTTGATGAATGTAGGGTACTTTGGCAGACTAAACTGTAGTCAGGAGCACATTCCAGTTGTAGGCAGGAGAGGAAGAGTTCTCACGGTTAAGCTAATGGTTGAGATAAACCACAGGCTTGCCTTTCCCCCCAGAAAAAAAAAAAAGGAAGGGAAGTGCTGCCACCCCTTAGCAGTTTTATACTCTTTTTAAATGCAGAAAAGAAAAATAGGTGCAGCCTATGCCTTGGACTTTGAAGACCAGGCTCATATTCCTACTCTCGTATAGGCTTGTACATGACTTTAATGTGTATATGGATAAATTCTGCACTTTGGTTTCCATTCTTTAAAATGGAGATGTAGCATTTTTCTATAGCATGAATGTTAGAGCGGTACAAGTCAGCCTATTAAGCATCCAGATAGTCTGGTGATGATGAAAGCTGTTTCAGTGTCTGTGGTATTTTACCGTATAGTTACTTAACTGAAAGCATGCTCTGTGAGAGAAAAATTATACCCACAGGTTTATTACCCTTCTCCACGGGTTTTTCAGCTGAGGAATCATAGAATCACAGACTGGTTTGGGTTGGAGGGGACCTTAAAGACCATCTAGTTCCAACCCCCCTGCCATGGGCAGGGACACCTTCCACTAGACCAGGTTGCTCAAAGCCTCATCCAATGTTGCAGAAGTCCACAGAGTGACAACGGTGAGGAATGGGACAGGGCAGAGGATCAGGTTCTGCAGACAATCAAGTGGCAATCAGCTGTTGTGAGACCAAATAAATTATACATCGGCAACTCGAGGCTCATTTCCCATGAGACCCTTACTGAAGCGTTATCCCTCAGTACCCGTGCACCCGGTATAACCAAAACAGGCCTAAGATTTGATGTCCCTAACCAGGAAAGGTCTTGTCCACTGTTCAAGGAACATTGCAGGTCTGTGGATGCCTCTCTGGTGGTATTTCTTCTGCAGGGAAAGAAAGGTGTTTCCTTACAGCATCACTTGAGAACAGCAATCTTGCTGGGCATAGTAGGAGAGCTCCTAGTTCTGGTTGTAGAATAGATGAGAGAACAGAAAAATTCAAATTGTTGCTCTTTTTCCTCCCAGCATAGAAATGTGCTGAAAAATTACAAAAAGTAGGAGGAACCTGTCCTGGTTTTGGCCAGGATAGAGTTCGTTTTCTTGCTAGTAGCTGGCATAGTGCTGTGTTTTGGGTTAGGTATGAGAATAATGTTGATAGCACAGTGGTATTTTCAGTTGCTGCTGAGTAGTTGTGGTGTTTATACTAATCAAGGACTTTTCAGCTTCCCATGCTCTGCCAGCGGGGAGGTGCACAAGAAGCCGTGAGGGGGCACAGCTGACCCAAACTGGCCAAGGGGATATTTCCTACTATACGGCTTCATGCTCAGTAAATAAAACTGGAGTTGGCCATGAGGCAGGAATTGCTGCTTGGGGATGGGCTATCCATCACTGGGTGGTGAGCACTTGTTGCATTGTGCATCACTTCTTTTTGTGTATTCCTTTATCAGTAATATTATCAGTAGCCCATGCTGCACTGGCTGCAGGCCTCCTTCTCTTTCTTCACTAGCTGCCTGGACAGCTACTCCTAAAAAAACTATATTTAATTTGGTCAAACCAATGAAAAGGAGGAGTATTCCAGGGAAAAGGCTGACATCAACTAGCCATCTAGTGATCTTCATATAGTTCCTTGGGATAATTTTTCAGATTAAAAAAAAAAATCAAAATATAAAGATGGTATTCAGACGAAGATCATCTTTGTAGTTGCACTAGAAAAGTCTCTTAACTACAAAATTATCTCGTCTGATGTTTCCTTCATATAAGACAGTTATAAGAAGTCACTCAGCTGTTGTGTGAAGCCCAACAGCTGAAATCAGAACAGCTTCCACCCTAAATGCAGCTGCACCTCCCTGACCTGAGCCAACTCGCACACCCACAACACCTGACAACACCTGGGCAGGCAGGTGTCGCAGTTAGTTCTTAGAGTCTGATAAAGGACAGCAGGAAAAAATGGAGAGAAAGCAGCAAACAAATCAGAAAACACAGCCAAAGAAGCACAAATAGCCCAACTTCAAACCAAAAAAAATTAGGCCACATACAAAATAAGGAGCAGCTTTGACCAAGTAAGTGAGTTTGTTGCCATCTGTACTCAGAGTTTTGTACATTCCTTGCAAACAGCTAGGAATGCATCAAGGAAATACCTCATCTTTACTGTCCTCTCAGTAGGGTTCAGTACTTCTTGAAGTCAGAATTAATTTTTCATGATCCAGTGATGTTGATAAAACCAGCAATGGCAAATTCTAGATTTTTCTTTTTTTAACTAAAAAATGGAAATTTAGAAAAAAAGCAATGAAAACTTGAAGACTTTTCTACCTGCAAGAACCAATTTTCTCACAGAGGTAATCATATAATTGCAGCAAGGGTATTTGACCCATAACATCTCAATTTTTGAGAGTATGTTGGTATGGAATTTTCAGAATTACAGTTCAGAAGATTTTCCATATACCACTGCAGGGCAGTCCAAGTGCTTGTCTGTGGACCAGACCTAGCCAATGGGATATATTTCTCTGGCTTGTTGCCGTTTCTCTCTGGCAGAGACAGGGGATGTCTGTCTGAGTAAGGAACATGTCCTAAATAACTATTGCTCCCTCCCATGCCTGAATAGAGGCTAACATGCAGATGCTTCTTCTGGCCCATCTACCTGAGGGGAAGGTGGAGCCAAGAGGTCAGTTGAGGGACCAAGGCATCAACCCAACCCACGGATTGGTGAAGAAAGGGATGGTTTCAAAACTATGATATAATTACTAATTAGTGAAAAGAATATTTCCTGACCATATTCAGATAGTTGGCAATTGGCACGGTGCTGGTAATGAGGAACCAGGTGCGTGAAGGATCTGGCGGGTTGGCAGCTTTGCTTGTTGCTGCAATAGAAATGGCAGTGTGATTATAATGATTTGGTTTTGGCTACAAAGAAGGCATTTGCCTTGTGATAGTGAGGCCTTGGATGTGTCCGCTGGCCAAGCTGGAGTGATGAGGATGCTCTTATACAGCACTTAAACAGTGAGTTGGTTTGTTTAGAAATCTTGAATTTTTTTAAGATATGTGTACCGCACCTCTAATGATGATGATGTTATGAAAGTAGTGTAAATAAAAACAGCTGTACCCAATGAGGTCTCCAAATATCATAGAATCACAGAATGGTGTGGGTTGGAAGGGACCTTAAAGACCATCCAGTTCCAACCCCCCTGCCATGGGCAGGGACCCCTTCCACTAGACCAGGTTGCTCAAAGCCTCATCCAGCCTGGCCTTGAACACTTCCAGGGATGGGGCATCCACAGCTTCTCTGGGCAACCTGTTCCAGTGCCTCAGCACCCTCTCTGGGAAGAATTTCTTCCTGATATCTAATCTAAACCTCCCCTCTCTCAATTTAAACCCGTTACCCCTTGTCCTGTCACTACAGACCCTTGTAAAAAGTCCCCCCCAGCTTCCTTGTAGCCCCTTCAGGTACTGGAAGATGCTATAAGGTCTCCCTGGAGCCTTGTCTTCTCCAGGCTGAACAAGCCCAACTCTCTCAGCCTGTCCCCATAGCAGAGGTGCTCCAGCCCTCTGAGCATCTTCATGGCCTCCTCTGGGCTCACTCCAACAAGGCATGGTTGGATTTAAGGGAATCCAGTATTTTATTGAATTGCATTACAACAGAGTGCCCTCTAGGAATGGGAGCTTTGAGGATGAGTTCTCCCTGTAATGGCACTTGCTCCAGCAGATCAAGGAAGCTTGGAGTATGGTACTGTTAAAATCTCAGGGAATTCTGGCTTCGTAAGAGTTACTTTATGATTCTAGTAATAGCGGAGGTTTGGGCTCCTGACATTCTAGTGAAGCAAACCCATGACTTTTTAATAAAATATCTGATATGATTCTAGCAAATTAGCTTTTCTAATCTCAGTGTAATCTTGCAGTCAAGAGCACACACATTCAGCACCCTCTCTCCTTTCATTTTCCTTTGTCCTTCCCGTTCACCTCCTCTGTTAGCTGTTTTATCACCCCTACCACTGTATTTCCTGTTTAAGCTCTAGTTCCCACCCCATAGCATCATCCAAACTCTGCAAGAGACATGGTGAAACTCCTCGTGATTTTGCTGTCACACCATTTTCCCCTTCTCCCACCCACCTCCTGTTTTGTGTGTCCTGTCTTTACCCAGGCAGCACTCTCCAGCGGAAGGGTGCAGCTCTGCCTGTCAGCCGAGCACCTCTGCGGGCACTGGGTGAGTCCAAACCCGCTTTGCTAACCGCGGGAGCACGTAGACGTTAGCTTTCAATAGGTATGGGCACTTAATCCTCACCGAGCTCCCGGCTGGCTGCTGGGGTGCAGGAGGATCCACACAGCACCCCTGCCAGCACCTCGCCTTCCCCGCGTGGGGGGAAGCAGGGAGCCAGCCTGCCATGGGAGCCAGCCCACTGGAGGAGAGCGATGCTGATACGCGTTGCCATAGCAGCAGCAGCAGAAGATACAGCTGGCCGCCTTCTTGGGAAGAGCAGGAGCTGGAAAATACCCGTTAATTTTGTTTCACAGGCTTTAGAAATCTGCAGGAAGGACCCATTTGAAAGAATCATTATGAAACATCTCTACTTACGCATTCTTCCCTTTGTCCAACCACCAACTCTAAAATGCCTGGGAGAAAGGGCGGGTAGCATTACCAAACATACCTGACGTGAATGCCGTGCCCTGCCTCGGGCAGCCAGTTTGGTTGCCTTGCTGGAGCTCAGCCTTCACGGCGAAGAGCAGCAGCAAAGGGAAAGGTAATGTCTCAGGTGGTGAGGGTCAGTCCTTCAGACAGCAGGGAAGCCTGAGGAGGCATTTTCAGAGTTTCCAAGCAGATAAGCTGTTACTTTTGTCCTCTGTCCCCTCAGGATGTTGGTGCCGTGGTATGTAACGCTCAGGGGAACAGTGAAACCCGGCAGCCAGGACCTGATTAGACAGCCTGGCAGTCACCAGTGGCACCACATTTGCTGCAAAGCCCCTGCCTGTCACCCTGCGAAACAGCCGGGTCCAAAGGGACCCTGGAGTTCGAAATACCTTCGCAGGCAGCGAGCAGGTGTCAGCAGCAGATGGGGGCTTGAGTGGAGGGATCCAACTCTCACAGCACGGCCCATTTCCTAGCAGCGTTGCCTCTCCCTCCTCTAGGATTAGCCTCAGCAGAACAGGCAGGGAGAGAGGCAGGAGATGATAAAACGGGAAAGCAGCCTGTTGTGCCTGCATCCCTGGCTTTTCAGCCAAAAGCCAGCTGTCAAACCTTTGCAGGTCCGGGTGAATTCTGAATACATGGAACACCACGGCAGGCTTGCAAAGGAAATGGGGGGCAACTGGGGGGAGTGGATGTGGGGTGAATGTACCATCCAAACAGATACAGGGTGCAGAAAATGGAATTACTGAGAAATCAAAGCACAAGGATGATGCTGCTGTCATTATTTGCATGTTTATAATTATTAGTATAATTCCAAATGAATTGCAACTACAAATTCAAACCCACGATTTTGCAGGAAGCTGGAAGACGTTGCACTGTGAAATCGCTGCTACCATGCCGTCTTTATAATGAATGGTTCAGTTTTATTCTAAAATTAAGAAATTGGTCTTTAGACTCGTTAGAAACCCATGGGGCTGCTGAATGACAGGAAAGAGGGCAGGGTTTTCTTCCCAAACACAATGCTCCAGCCTGGTGTACTCCCTCCAGTCTGAGCCCGCTTTCTTACTGAGTATAGAAAAAGTTGGTGGGTTTCTTAACAGGATTTTTCTGTTTTATTTTTTACCACAGGAGAAACGCCGGCACTTCTGGAGTTGTAGCTGGTCACAAGAGCAATGGCCTGAAGAAAAGAACAGTGAGTTTTGGATGACTTAGACTTGTAACAAAAGGTCTATCTGTGTGTTCAATTACAACTGTTATATAATCTGCTTTGATGAAATGCAGTTAACCCATCATATTCATTGAAATACTATTTGTCTGTGTAGTCCCACTAAATGCTTACTTCCCCTACTCCTCTTTCACACAGTAGCTAAATTTTGTTGCCTTAACATTGGCTCAAATAATTTTATCTGTGCTTAGAGCAGAAACTGTGGCTGACAGCCCAGGTTGTGAGTATCAGGGGAGTCAGTGGGGCACAACCTTTTTTGCCTGAGGCCCACAGTAACACCCCCTCATGCTGCTGGGCCGGCGCCTTCTCAATGCGCTCCGAGTTTATGGACACGGTAAGTATTTAAATACTAGGAAAGGCTTAAGGAAAAAGAGCACAACCCCTGCTCACCAAGGAGGGCGGATGCGGGGCTAAGCCTGTGGCAGTTGTCCGTAAGCGTGCTGTCGTGGGATGGCTTGACACCACGCTTGTTGGAAGGCAGCCAGCAGCACGTGAGCAACAAACTTGCGTGGACCCAAGTGGAGGAAAAAAAAGGAGAGAGGATGTCTGTCATTTTTTATGGAGTGCTCGGGTGTGGTAACGAGTGCTCTGAAGTGGATATAATGACAGCTGATGAGAAATGTGCTGCCACCCCGACAGTAGAGCCTACTATCTGCAGCCTTATTTAGCAGGTTACAAATCTGATGTGAGTGCTACAGAAAATATATGTGGAAGATACATATAGCATTAAATATTGACTGGTTTTGAAATTAGTGTAATGTTTAGGATTTAAATATTTAGCTTGTTTCTTTCATCCACCCCTAAGTTCTAAAAAAAAAAAAAGGCAAGCATTCCTCTGAAGAAATGCATCTTGTGGAAAAATCATGTTGTACAATTTCAAGAAAGTACTTAATACCTTTAACAGAGCTGACAAAATAATCGTGATTTTTTTTTTTTAATTCAAAATAAATTCTGATGCATTGAGAGCAAGAATTTGCACTGTTCTCCATCTGTCATTTCTCTGACGGTTGAACAAGAGAGATCTGAGTACCTGTGGCCTCTATTCAGCACATCCTATCCTTGGGAGAAAGAGGTAAGGAAGAAATGCCCCAACGAAATGCTACGATCACGTATTCAGTCAGCAGGCGAGTTAGCTCTTTGCCTGTATGATCTTATTGCACCCTCTTTTTGGTCACCTTCTCCAGGTTTTCCTGCTTGTCAATGAGTACTACAGCCACTGTCAAGATATTTTACATATGGTGCGAAATAACGAGCTTGACAAGGTACGCCTTTGCTTCGGTAACACTCATTATGACAACAGCAAACACAACTCCAAGGATAAAATTGTTTCTGTGTTGCCTATTGACTTGATGGTTTGATCTAAGGTAGATGATCATTTATAGACAAAAGGAGCATTCAGTCAAATTATTTGGGATTTCTTAATTTACACAATGCAGTCCATTAATTTGAGTTTGTAGGTGTATCCTGAGCACTCCTGGCACATCAAGAGGACTGGCACATCTGGCACATAGATCCATAGCATGGTTTGGGTTGGAAGGGACCTTAAAGACCATCTAGTTCCAACCCCAACATCAAGAGCACAAAACAGAAGGGCATGGACACGTATCTTTCAGCATATCCATGGCACAATTCTTTCTGCCCTCTTTCTTCCGTTGCCTTTTGAGGTTCAGCTTGTTGCCCCGGGATGCTTCCACTTATGTTAGAGCCCGGCCAGGATGGGGCCAGGCACAAAGTCCAGCTCCAAGGTCATTCTCTTGCTTCTGTGCTTGTGTGTGATGCTTTCCTGAATTACATCTCACATTTCACAAGCGTAACATCAATGAAAATTCACGAAGGGCTTTGTGTGACAGGTGGGAGGCTGTATGATGTCATTCTGGAAGTCTCTGCAGCCTGAAAGAACAGCGCTGATGTCTTTGCCAGATGTATGCCAGATGTTAAAAAGCTGTGATAGGCAGCTATTCAAGGTACCGTAGACACACTTCTTTGTTGTAATTACGTTATTATGTGTTTGTCTCTTTTGGGTAGTTCTACCTGAGGAGAAGGGCCAGCTGTTTCTTGTACGCTGGGGATTTTTGTCTGTACCTCAATTCTGATTTTTGGTTTCTTTGGAAATTTTTAAGGAGTCAGTGGAATTTGAGATAACTTGCATTTCGGTGCTATATATTCCTTTGGAAGTCCTTAGTATCAATGGAGTATCCTGTTATAAATGTGGTCTGTGGTTCCAGCATGAGGTAACATCACTGAAATTTTGGCTGATAACTGTTTTCCAAATTACGAGAGTTATTTTTCCTTTGAGAATGCTACTGCATTTCTCGGTGACATTCCACATAGAAATATGCAGTTTTCTTTTCAAAATAACTGGCTTCCTATTTACAGCGGGTCATTAAATAGAGTCTAGTAATTAATACAGGAAATGACATTTATTGTTAGGATCTTTTTCCTTCTGCTAATAAATGTCCTTAGCTGTTGCTTAATTGAAAGAAAAAAAGAAAAGGGCTTCTTTACATTTACATTTCAACTACCAATACAACTTTGTTTCACACTGCTGTAAACATTTGTAGTACACCAGTCATGAACAGCTCCATGTGTTTGTATTCTAGGACATGGAGAACATCCTTCTTCATGATTTCCTGGAGGAGGTGCCTGTGCAACACATGAGGTCAGTCGTATTGTTCATTGAAAATGTTGAGCTTTGGCTGCTCAATTCTTTGCAAGAGTTTCCATCACTGCTCCAAACACACAGATCTCAAGGTACGTTTGAGTAATAGAGAGATTTTCATAAAATAATCTCTGCTTAAACTGCAGAGAAGATTGTGTTTCAAAACTCTTACAGAAATTATTTTTGAAACATTTTTTAGCTGATGTAACTTCAATAGTAGTGAGATCTGGAGTTAGTTGGGATACAGTTAAAAATAGTCTCAGATAACATGCAAGAACAAATTTAAGCCAAAATTATTCCCAATCCATGGTAAATTAAAGTATACTTTAACCTTTTTAAAGATCTGTCTTTTGCCATGATTGTTTTGGCTGTGTGGATGACTGATTAATATGCAGTCTGCCCTCTGAAATTTAGGTATTGTACTGTCTCTTCACCTTGCAAATGGTTTTATGCAGATAAATTAATGGCTATAATGCAGTTCAATATAAAGGGAGAAAAAGCCATAGTCCCAGAGGGAAACTATGCCTCTGTCATTAGAGGAGGATTTGAAAAAATGTGTACTATACAAAGGTATGTGTATATATGTGTGTTTGTAAATATGTACATACATACACATACATACATTTATGTATGATGATGAAGATTCTGGCTGAAACATCATGTTGCTCAGTTGCTCATTCAGTGAAGATCAACTCCTCACTGGCAAAACAGGACTCCGGTGTAGACAAAAGCTTGTATTAGTAATCATGTGCTCAGGGAAGACTTGCAGACAGTTTTAGTTCTGGCGTTTCGTACATCTGAAGGCTTGACAGAGCAGAGTAACATGGTTTTAACATGCGTGAGCATGGAAGTATATGTAATTAATAAGCCGCAACCCTTAGTATATACATCCTGGTCTTTCTGGTTTGTACAAACTTCAAGGAAACAGAAATTTTCACTTGAAAACCATTGCCTGTCTACAGAATTTTGTGAGTTGCTTTATACTCGATTTTCCTGTAACTATGAATCAGTTATTTTGTATTTCATTCTTAAAAAATGGCTTCTTCCACCATTGTGAGACATGTGCTGCCATCAAACAAGCCAAGAGGTTGAAGCCTCTTTGGTATGGGGGGTGATGGCTGAAATATAAGTATGGGGAGGCCTGGCAGGGTGACTACATCACCCTCCCCAAAACCCGCCAGGGCAAGTGCCAGGTGCTCACAATGGTGGAAGCAACCCCCGGGTGGCTGGAAACAAATCCTGTACCCCATGCCACTGCCTGCAATACTATCCTGGGCCTTGAAAAGCAAGTCCTGTGGCGACATGGTACCCCAGAAAGGATTGAATCAGACAATGGGACTCATTTCCGAAACCTTCTTGTAGACACTTGGGCCAAAGAGCACGGCATTGAGTGGGTGTATCACATCCCCTATCACGCACCTGCCTCTGGGAAGGTCGGACGGTGCAATGAGCTGTTAAAGACCACCCTGAAAGCAATGGGGGGTGAAACTTTCAAAAATTTGGATACACAATTAACAAGCTGGAGTTAAACCATGACAGGATATTATGGGGCCATGCTTGTCATAATTATAATACATTATAAACAAGAAAATAGAACCAAAGAAACCAACTCCTATTGAGAGGGCTGTAGAATTATAGATGCATAAAAGTGGAAATGTAAACCATTTAAACAAAATATAGGAGGGTTAGAATTAACAATGCTTTCATTCAACTTAAACCATACACGTAAAAGAGTATTGGTCTTGTTTGAGAATTACTTAATGTAAAAATATGTGGGAAGTATTTTTCCTGTGTGTCATGGGTTAACAGATTTGCAGTGAAGGAAGAGGGGTGACCTGGGCAGCTTCTACTTGCAAGATTTAAACAGCGAGGGTCCCCAGCCCATAATGCTGGCCCAGTGCCCCCTCTTTGCCCCCTTTTATCCTGTTGCTCCCCGAGGGATCTATTTTCTAGCTTTAAAGATCTGTCGTCATTACATATTTTAGACTGTAAAATATTAATGATGTGAAACATCTGCCTCTTTTTCTTTAACAGAATTTAAAAAGTTTAAACAAAGACTCAGGAGAAAGATAGACCTTTCTGTCATGGCCAAGGTATGTTCCAGAATCCATGCAAAAAAAAAAAAAAAAAAGCTGGGTATCTCATTCACTCAAGCAGCCCATCAGCAGTCTGGACTATTTATGAGATGCTCCACTGTGGGACAACAGCAGCAGCACAGCTGTTCTTATCTATATACTGACCACAGTTCAAATAAGTCTCATCCTCCTACCCACCTCTTCCCAAATCGTAAGAATGCTGAGGGGGCCTCCTCTTCCCTCTGGATCCTATGAAAGCCTCTGAGATATGGTCAATGGTCCCGCATGGAGAGGAGAACATCACAGTAGCTGGAAGGGTCAGACGACAGTTTCTACTATCTTTGCCTGGCCATGCAAAAGCCAGTCAGATAGGACATGCTGGAGTTATTCTAAATTTGGTTTTACATAGCATTCTGGCCACTCTCTGACGAGTGCTACAGAAACCTACACAAGGGAAAATCACTAATACAGAGGCTGAAGAGAAGCTGCATGTTCAGGGAGCAGGCCACGAAGGCTTTAAGGTCACAAGACCCTCACCTTTTTCACGGATCCCAGGGATCAGCTGGGAAAATGTTCTCCATCCTAGGACCAGACAGTATGGGAAGGAGTGCTGCAGGGAAACATTTTATGAACTTTCTTCCTCCAGGTCATCACTCAGATTAGGTATTTTTTTTTCCCCTTTGGAAGAAAGAGAGAAAAATATCTCTCACAATTCATCTTTCTTCCTGCTTTTTGCTCTACAGTATCATTCTTCTCAGCTACAGAGGTGTGTCCAGGAGCTGCATTTTTACACCTTTGAACACCACGAAGTAAATTGTTTCATTCAGTCCTGCATTATTATGAGGGGCTATACCCTCCCTGCAGCATTCCTTCCATTGGTGTCCTTGGATACTTCCAGAACTCTGGGCTTTGAGGTGGTCTATGCCACAACAGAAGAGATAGGTCACGAATGGGGAAGAAAGCAGAAGAGAACAGGTGGCATATTCTCTCCTTCAAACAGCAAGTACAAGAATTTTTCCACCATGCTGCCTGGCTCAAATCCCTACACTGTGCCCCCACAAAAAAGGGGTGGAAGGCAGGCAACTGTGGTGTCTTGTACTGCACAGCAGTGCCATGTTCTTCCTTCATAAATGTAGCATTTCTTTATGGGAAAACCTCATCACCAGCAGCACATAAAACACGCAGCTCACCTACTTCAAAAAACTTTTAAAAAGTTAAAACAATAATGCACAAATATGTATGGTTATGCTACCACAGGCAAAAGGTGGTTTTCTGTGAGATGCTGAGCCCTCACAGTTCCCGTTTACGGCAGTGCCCTTGGACATACTAAATACTTGAAAAGCTCAGCTTCATGCACTTCTAAACAGTGCTTCTTACGCATCGAAGAACGTGATCCAGCAAGACTGCAAGTGCCGACTATTCCCAGTCCTTTGCATTTGATTAGCGTACTCAGACTTTACATCATCCTTCTTGTGCTTGAGCCATGATGTCAAGGGGCTGGCTGCAGCTTTTTGCTTCTTCCCTGCTTATTTCTAATGTGTGGAAAAGCTGCAGAGAGTCAACACTAAATTTACACCCTCAAGATTTAGGGCAGGAGAATTTCAGCCTAGCTGGGGGGAATTCTCTAGCGGCAGCCTCTGGCTGCTCCTCATCCCCTTTACGCTGTTTAACTGGCACAAAGTGAACGTAACAGACCTGAGAATCGGGGTCGGACCTGTGCTTACAGCTGAGCACATTCTAAGCCTGGTTCTTGTTCATGCTAATGAGCTCTTGGCACGGTTCTCACGAGTAAATGATCTTTGCAACTTCTCTAGAGCCTCTTTAAAATACAAGGGAAGGGCAAAGGAGTTCCAGTGTACCTGATAATTAGTCCCACCGGCCACTTAAAAACTATAGTTTCAATAAGTGGAATTATGTAAGTCTAGTAAACGAGCATCCCCATAGCCTTTCAGCGGTCATACAGCCTCCATTACAACTTCTGTGAGAGATCTTGCCAAAGCCATGAACGCTGGGCTCCAGCGAAACAGAGAAGGAAACAAATACCGGCCAAACGTTCTCCTGCAAATGCTTCCCCCTATCCCACACACACCAGAAGATGATCAGCTGAACACCATAGGTGTTTAAAGTTTTCATCCTGGGAGAAACACGCAGATGCTTCATGGGGAGGTGGGCATTCCTCTGAAAGAACCACTGAGGGTTTTAGTCAGTCAGGCCCAATCCTAGGCTTGTGTGGATTCCTGGTGGCCCTCATCAGATGCTCATGGAAAGTGGTTATAAGTGGAGCAAGTGGTACCTCACTCCTCCTCCACTGTACTCTCCTGGCTTCCAGCAATCTGAGATGAAGGTTGTATTTACATCTTTGTATTTAGCAACTTGATTTTGGCATCCACAACTTCTTGGAGTAGTGAGCTCCAAGGTGTTATTATTTATTGTGTGAAAAACTACTTTCTTTTATTAGCTTTAAAATTTCTGTCTTTCTTCATGCAAACCTCCATCACATCCTTCCTCAGTTGAAGTATTTCTATCTGAAGTTTATTTAATCTTCTCACATAGGAGTCGCTTGATATTTCCAATCATCCTTCTCAATTTTCTCTGTCTAAAACATACCTTCAATTTCATCTGGAGACTGACGGTCAAGGCAGGTGACAGTGCTCCTAACGAGAAGGACCGAGGAGCCGTGCAGCGGCAGGCTCCGAATGGTGTAACCACACCGTCCCTTGCGGAGTACTTGGCAATATTTTAGCCACTTGGTGAGCAAACAGGAACAATTTTGGCAGGGTCAGCATTCAAAAGAAAAAGAGAAGTAACTTTCCCATCATGTGCAGATAAAGCAGGCTGACAGCTGCTACTACCTGGACATGCAGAAGTAATTAGAGCATAAAACGGTGCAAATTCCCTTTGAGAAAGGAATGTGAATAAGATGCTTGTCTTTTCCTGGGGCTGACTCCTGCCTCTGGTAAGCTGTATTTAAGCGTTGTCAGGGCTGGCTCTCAGCCATTTAGAGAATTGTATTTAGTATAGAGACGTGCAATGGCTAAAGGGCTCGTCCAAAACCCTGGGGCATAGAGCCGCGTGCGAGCAGTGTACTGCAGATCCTGCCCCTGGTAGTTCCCAGCCTTCTGGCTGTGTGTTCTTGTTGGAAGCTGCAGCTCTTCTTCTGACACTGGAAACTCCAAGTAAAACAAGAAAAAGAGACCTAATCTTTGGTTTAGCTGAAGGGGATTACCGAGTGAGAATCAGAGTGCTTTTGGTATTTCAGTAAAGCTTGCAGAATGATGAAAAATGGCCAGATCGGGAATTATGTTTGAAAACCAATGGGCAGCTGCCTTCACTGCTGCTTGTGGGGTCATGGTAATCACCTGGTGAATGGGATTTGTTAAAAACTTTATGAATCCTGAAGTTTTTCTGAATTTTACAAAAACTGGTTTTCTTCTGGAAGGCCAAACTGGGCATGTATTATTCATATAAAAGACCCAAAATCAACAAAGGCTTTAGGATCTTACCACTTCCAGTATGGAAGCGAGAGACTACATGTATGGATTAACAAATTTTAATGGATTCAGATTTAATTTCCTACACTATTTTAATCCCTTCAGCAAGAATCTGAAGCAATACTGTTTGATACTAGAAATTAAATTTAAAAAAAAAAAAGGCGAAGAGATGCGGATCAAATGTTAGGCTGAAAATTGTTTGCGCTATCTATGTGAATAATACTTTTTGGGACAAATATGAAGCCAGATTCATTCACAAATGACTCATAAGCAGATAAATGGGATAAAATCCCATTATTATTTTACCTAACACCGTATTTCTAATGTTATTGCTACCTCCTCAAAGGTTTGGGCAACTTGAGAAAACTTACCTTTGTATCTAATTGAAACATGTACTAAAGGCAGGGAACATCAAAGTCAAGTCGGCATTGATACACGATCCCATGTTTTAGACAAAATACCGTTATTTCCTGTAACTATAATAACTCTAGGTGAAAACAACCGCCCAGGCAATTGCCCAGATACTTCAAGCATGTTAGCCTTGTCTGCTCCATCACAGACAACAACACAGAGTGCCATTGAAAAGAATATCTCCCAGAACAAAAAACTTTTGAAGACAACTCAAGATTCATCTCCTTTGATATATTCCCCCCCCCCCCCCCCCCGCCGTTTGGAGACTGGCTATGTAAAGTCTAGTATTGAATAAGGAAGCTTTTTGACTGAGTTAACGGGCTTGAGAAAATGAAAGACATTAACTGTTTTCTTATTATCTACAGTCAACAAGAAGAGTTTTGAACAGCAACAGCCAACTTGCTGTTCTGCGATCAGACTTGCATGCTGTCATCGTTCAGGGATTTCTGGATGTGCCTGGAAACCTCTTTCAAAACAAGTTTAGTAATCCGGAGGAGCTGCAGAATGACATAGAACTCAAATGTAATATTTTTTTGCTATATTTTGTCTATCCATTTAAGCCCTTGCTTGTCATTGCTAAAGCTCCAGCATTTCCTCTTGTTTATTCATGGCATCTGCCCTGATAGGAACTACAGTCTTGCCGTAACCTGAAGTACTGGAAAAGAGCCAATAAAATTGAGAACGGAGCATGTAATATTATCCTTTCAACTTTAAAAAGAATGAAAGGCTTTCCATTCTGACTCTCTCTTAAAGCTTTCTATGGCAGCAGGAGTAGGGTTTATGTTATTAAATTATGTATCCCCTTCTAGAAGAAGGTTGACAAACAGGGATACTCATTTTTTATCGTTTTCTTTGACAAAAAAGAAGCTTCCAAGAGTTACATTTCACATTTCTCTCTGCTGTTAATCGAGGTACACAAAATCATTTCTTGTGGCCCGATTTTAAAACACTGTGTGCTGAAACAGATGAGGACCGTTGGCCTTTCAGCTTTCCTGTCCTCCCGCGGTATTGCGGCCTGTGGAATCGATGTGCTGCTGCAAACAATAAAATACATGGTTTGTATGCAGCCATGACATAACGCATTTGCCAGCTTAATGAAAAGGGATGGGAACATAATGGCAAGTTAATTTTTAGATGAATGGGCTGCTGTTTAAATTATTAGCCAGAGACGGGCAAGTTGGACTAGGCTGTGCACTGAACTGACGGGGGGAAACCTCAGCTCTTTGTTGCTGGCCCACCACCGACTCTCTTGCTGGCAAGGGATGTGCTACAGCCTTTCCATGACTGCCTTCAGTAGGAATAATATTTTGCCTGCTTCACAGAACCATCAGGAGAACCATTTATGTTACATTTATATGCGTCTTAAAACCAAAACCAACATGCAGAATGCTCTTTATTGCATTTGCTCATTACATTAATGATGATCTTACTCTTTCCAAGGTGCACTTTTTGCATTCTCTATTTTTGTTGCTTTTCCAAACTGCTGTTTATAATAAGCAAGATTTTGCAGACCCTATCCATATGCCTTCTTGAAGGGAGATGTCTCAGTTAGAAGGGTATAAACTCAGAGAGGTGCCATAGCGATGTGCCTTTTGACACTGGGTGGTAGTTTCCAGTCTTTTGGGGGAACAGCTGCACTGGTACATGGCCATACTACTGTATTTCTGTTGGTCCACAAAACATTCTGTATTTGCTGTTACTGTTTTAAAACTATTTCCCCCTCTCACAGATAAACCATGATTTTTTTTTTTTTTCAACCACATAAAACCTCAGACAAGTAAGTTGGTATTGCACATAATGAAATTCCAGCTTTCACCTTGGAAGTCTTTATTCTTGCCACCTTTGCCATAATGACTAGATCAGTGCAGATATGGTGGAAATGGGCATAAACGTGAATGCTGACGATTTCAAAGTAGGGTATTATATATAATATTATAGTGATCAAAATGCTATAAACAGATGTCTTAATATATTTTAAGCCACAGATAAAAGAAAAAAGAAGAACTAAAAGCACAGAAATAAACCAGAAAGCAAGCCAATCGCTTCAACTAATGATCTCCCTTCCATATTTCATAGGTTTGTACGACATCGTATCTTTGCTGGAACCTTCCACAGACATTCAGGTTCTCCTGTACTGCCTGTCTTCAAATCTTCATGATTTTGTCATTCAGGTATAAAATTAATTTAATAATTTCAGAAAAGAAAGAGTGATCACATCATTTATCCTGCTGCATGCTGACTGTCAGTAGTCTGCAGGCGCTACATGGTATACTAGCAACCTGACCAGACTGTAGATTTGCATAAATACAATTTATGCATGCTACAGAAAAAAAAGGAATTAATTGGCAAATAAATATTCCATCTGTGCAAACAACTACAGGCATATTTCTGCTCATATATCCACTTGGGCAGTTTCAGTATCTGCCTTCATTTCATAGACACATGTTGTAACAGTCTCTAATAAACTGAAATTCTGAAGAAAAAAGCTAGTAAAAATAAAGGGAATGCTTTTTGTTTCCTGAAATTGTTGATTTTCACTGTTGACTTTTAGCAGGTGGTGGGAGAGTGATAATTTCTAGTACAATGTCTCTAGCTCTTGTGAAAGATTCAAGTATGATCATCCTCGCATACGCACCTTTCCATAGGTTGCCAACTCTACCACCCCTGCCACACCACTGAGCCAGAATTAGCACTAGCCTGATGGTACCACTGCTTTTGGTTGGTTGACAGACCAATTAATTTGGGTCTGGGACGTGGTTAAAGGGATTTTTTTGAAAAAGTAGAGCAAACTGTGCTTCTTTAACTTGCTTATTTCCTTTTTTTTTTTTTTTTGATTAACAATAGGGTTTTGCAGGTCTGTGGTACCTTCATGCTACAGAACCCTCATCTACCTCATGGATGGTATACAGAAGATGGAGCAGGGGCTTTTCCTGGGGGTTCAGTTATAGGGAGTAAGGAAATAGACACAAGTTGCAGCGAAGAAAATTTCTAGTAGATAAAAAGAAAAAATAATTACCATGAGAGCAGTTAAGCATGGAAAGAGGTTACCCAGAAAGGTTGTGGAATCTCCATCATGGAATTATTCAGTACTTGCCTGGACAAGGCCTGGACTAAACTGTCCATGCCTTGGACAAGAGGTTAGATGAGATTATGTCTGAAGATCCCTTTCAGCCTAAATTACTTTAGGATTAGAACCAAAAAATGTCTTGTTCTACCTTTCTCTCCAGTTTGCACGGGGAAACACTCTGCAATACAATAAGGAGTGCTTTTAACCAACCTTATCGTAAAGCATTTTTTTTCCTCTATCTGCAGCCAAGCAGGAGTAAAGAGGAGTTTAGAAAACTGGCATCGGATTTCCAGTTGAGATGGAACTTCCTACTGAATGCAGTAAGCAAGGCTATGACGCTCAACTACGCACACAGTTTTGGTAAGCAGGATCTTTCTGACCCTCATCTGATACACCCCTCCGTGCCCTGAGATGGCAGAAGGCACCAGATCACACTAACTGACATAAATTAATGCTATGATCAATAGGGGCATCACTCCTTCCTTCCTTCCTATTCTCTTCCTTGCATCAAGAAGCACCGTTCACCTGGTGACATGGCTAGACAGGTCAGGGAAATGAAATTATTAGTCTTCAATCAGTTCAGCTCTCTGAGCCAAACTCTAGGATGAGCAGAAGGGAGTAAAGCAGGAGCATGCAGCTTCTGATGGTGGGAAGGGCAGGACTCCCTCTTTTGGCAGAAGCCATCATTTGTCTGTGGAAATGTGGGGAAGAGCAGCCTGAGGTGCGAGTCTCTCCTCTCCCTCCCTGCAAGAGCCGCAAACCCCAGCAGAAGGGTGTGATGGAAAGCGGGGACCACTAGTATCCCAAATCATAAAAATTCCAGGTGTCTCAACTGATAGCTCCCAGTCCTGCAGGTTCTTCCTGTATAAAACAGCCAGAGCACAGCCAGTGCAATAACTACTTGCTAAAAAGGCAGTCGGTTCCTCTGACAACAACTATATACTCTGTCCTTTTCCTTATGCCTTACTGGCATAGTGCTTGCCTAGCCAGCAGCAAGCCCATTTAGGGTGTTAAACTAACCATAAACTCGTCACTCGTTCAGCTGGGTCAGTTTTCTCTCTGTTTCAGGGCTCTGAGCTGTCAAGCATCAAATCCATCCCACAGCAGTGCAAGGCAAGAGAAGCGAAGGGACCTTGCAGTCAGTCACATTTACTCAAAGTGGCTTGAAGTGGTACAACCATGTCTTGAATCAGTTCAGTCTGTCTCTTCCATTCCTGTATTGCATCAACGCTACCTGCCTTTCTCTTCATTTGTAAAACCTTTCAGAGGCTCTCTATTACTCATTCTGCAGAAATGCACTGTCTCCTGTGAGTAGCATCTGATCCCAAACTGCATGAACCACTTTTTAGATTTTCAAAGGAGCACCTTCATATTTTTTCCTGTTCTGTTGCATGGTGCTTCACACAAATAGCCAAAGAAAACCTCATTATCTTCTTTGAAATTCCCCTTCAAAACTGTCCTTTCATGTGTTTCCTACAAAGACGTAACAAAGGGGTATGTTAAGGTTGTTGCCTTTTGTATTCATCAGTATTCTTCCCCTATTAATGTCTGCGTTTGTGCATGTATCTGTGCACCCCTTTTCCACATCTACCTGCTACCTTGTGCCTTATATTTAGATTGCAAGCTCTCTGGAGTGGGATCAGTTTTGTTCTGTGTGTGCCAGGAACACAGCACAGTAGGGTCCCTTGTCTGTCACCTGCTGCATTACAGTAATAATAAAATAATCATTCCTCTCTCCCTCTCCAGAGGAGTTCTGCACAAAACTCCGATGTCACATGCAGTATTTCAGGCAATGAAGAAATTGGGAATGAATTCCAAGAACAGCACTGGAAGCACAGCGTTTATTGAAATTCCCCACAATGATGAAATCCTTTTCCCTCTTTCCACCACAAGAAGAGTTTAATGAATTGCTTCCCTGTTCTGCAACTGCCCGTGGTTGGGGACACCAGAGCATCCCTTCCTCTGCAGAGCCTTCTTTAAACTAGTTAGAATTTATATTTTCATTCTACTTACAACAGTCTTCCTACTATACTGGAGTAGCAGTAGCAGTAGTAGATTGAATTTATTCTCACATATGAGATAAAAAAATGGTTTTTAATCTTTCACTGTAATGGTCCAATCAATTTGATCATTGTTAATAACCTGGGTTGTTTAAGATGTTGGATTACATGATCTAACCATGTCCCTTCTTTCCCATGTTTCTATTCTGGTAGGAGATTGAGTTTTAGTGGACGAGGCTGAAGCAGTTATATTAACAAGCCATCTGGTGTAAAAGTTCTGCACCTCAGGGTCATTGCTATTCAGAAATCTTTTAAATCTCAATATTTCTTGCAGGAATGGTGGGCATCCTGCAAGTCTAAGCATGTAGCATCCACACTGAGGAAACACAATTACTTAAGGAAATGTGTGAGCGTCATGTTAATGCAGTGTGCCCTCCACCCTCCTGTCCGTTCCCACCCC